ATTGCTTACTACTTGAGTCTCGCATAATCCGACTGTACATGGGATTTCCTAACTTCCAGAAGAACCGTATGCGTTAATCCTTAAAAGTGAAAATGACTTGGTGGTAGCATTAGGGAAAATCGGTCAGCCACTTCGATTAATATGGTCATATACTTTGTCTACTGAAGACGAAGGCGTTTCGATTACCGTAATCATAATTTTATTCTTCTGAGCTTCCAATGACCGAAAAGCCTTCGTCTTCTATACGTATGCCCGGGGATGCGAACATTTGCCTCAATATTGTCAACTTATTTAATTTAGGTAGCGAGCAACACATGGTAAAGATTACCTGAGAGGCTCGCTAACAGCAACTTTCCAGGGGGTACAGATGAAGTGTTCAATTAATTAGATAGGAGGACAGGGAGCAGAAGCCCTCTCCCTCCTAGTACCGGTGACAAAACCCGCGATAACCTCGAGGAGGGGGTAAATATTACTGTGCCCCAACGCCAACCTTCAGCGCAAACCTTACCACTAAGATTTGCCGCGACCTTACGTATAGCGCCAACTTAACCCTACTGATAATTCCAAACCCCACCTTAACTCTAACTCTTTTTGAAACGGGCATAGACATTTCCGTATGACAGCTGGCCTGGCGCTAAATCCGATGGCATTACTTATTCTTGTGTCCCAACCTTAATCCTAGCCTCATTTAAGATTTGACACAGGATCACCTATGGGTACAAATTCCTCTGTCCTACTTGGATATCTAACAGCTATATTAAATTGACCACAGTGCTAGAATAGGCTGAAGCCAAAATCTATTGTTTTAAGAAATTATTTTGATGCTTTATCATCTATTGTTGTCTCTTCGGACAGAAAATCTAGGTCTTTTTTTCACTAAGTGCCAGGTAGAACAAGATAACAATTAGCAGTTGCACAATATTTTTTCATTTTTATATTTCGAACAATCGACAAATGGGCGAAACATAGTAATAAAATATAGTCTAACTGACCTCGTATAGCATACCGATAGTTAGACATTCCGAAAATAAATATGTAGACTTTTAACCACCGGTTCTGTATTTTCCTGTATTTAATTGTGCCTATGCTAGAAGCACTATAAAAATACTCCCACGTATATTAAGATAATAGGTAATTCGAATATGCAAAGTATGCAGTATTTATTCAAGCCAGGTATGCCCATCAACTTCGAGGTTGATCCTTAAAAGCTCTGCTCGGCAGCTCTTTATTAAATCCTTCTATCATGTTTCTAAAAAGAGTAGGATATTCTGCAGAAAAGTATATTTCGCTGCAAAGGAACCCGCTTGCTTTGGACGACTGAAACATATATACCGGCTTATTTTTGTACAGAAACAGCATCTAGAAAAACAGATTCTGCCAGTGACAAGTACTTAGTGAACTTTTGTTTAATGGCGGAATTTTGGTCATTCTTTGTCTGTGGACATCGTATGCGAGCTTACACGTGAGATTTCGTTCGCAGAAGATGGTCAGGGTTAAGATTTATTGAATGGAATGGACCCGAAACGGTTGATTATCAGTCTACCTGCAACTTTTTAGTCCCTTTTTCTGATAAAGGCATCCACTGACCATCCACGGAAACCACTGAACATCGTAAAGTATTAACCGCCATTGCAAGAACGAGCTAAACCTCGCCGTGATCGAAATCCCTAAATAGAACTGGGGTGTTCATCCGATCTATCTGGTTAGGGCACATATTTATTCCGGAAGTGCCTTTGAGAAACGTGAATAAATTTTACTGTAAATTTTCGACTCTGGCACACCAAGTCGTCGTCGGACGTGCGGGAAATGTATATAGGACAGTGCGCATTCTTAAACATACCGAAAAATCAATAATGCTTTATCATCCTTGGTCAATAGTAAGCTTTGTTAGTTGACGCCTTTTGCAGGCTTTTTGAGGTTGATGTACATCGACTACTTGTCCCAAGTCGCCATGGATTCGCTTGAAACTGAGCAAAAGTTTGCATGGGACCAAACCCGCATAGTAGGCTCCTACCCATATAAGAAAGGCCGCAAATTTTTAGAGGCCATTAACTCTAACGACACGTCGAATAAGTTTCGACTTAGATCAACCTCAAAAGAAGCTTGGAAAAGGCGTTAACCAACAAAGCCTACTACTGACCAAGGATGAAAAAGCTTGATTGGTTTTTTGGTATGTTTAAAAGTACGCACTGTTCTATACACATTTTCCGCAAGTCCGACGATGACCTGGTGCGCCAGAGTCGAAAATTTGCAATGCAATTTATTCACGTTTCCCAAAGAATACAGGCATGTATGTGTGCGGCGTGAAAACTGGTTGTATAGCTGGATCAGTCCTTGGGCTTATTCCCATAACCAGTTGATCGACAGGCTTGGGCGGTTGCCTGATACATATGATCGGGAAGAGAGGATAAGTGTAGGACTTACAATGGAAGATACACCCCCACCATAATATATCGGATGCGATTCAACCTACCATGACACGCCATCAGTCGCATTCGGGAAGGTAGACTGACGAGATGAATCATCAGTTCTTGGAATCGAGAATGAGATGGAAATGGCGGCAACAATAGTTTATGTAGTGCACCACATTATTCGCTAGTCCCAGCACTTTGTTCTACGAAAGCGGTAGTTATAGGGTTTTATGGATGTGGTATTAGGATATGCAATGGAATATGCTTTAATAACTGCTATATACATTTTATTTTATTGTATTTAGAAATGGTACTGATTTATATCTGTAGATTTTCCGGCAGGAGTTTCCTTGGTAGCGCACATATGTTCCTATTTATATTTGAATGCCTACACAATTAATTTCTGTTAGGGTTAGGGTTAGGGTAAGGGTTAGGTTTATGGTTAGGGTTAGGGTAAGTGTTAGGGTAAGGGTAAGGGTTAGGTTTATGATTAGGGTAAGGGCTGGGGTTCGGGTAAGGGTTAGGGTAAGTGTTAGGGTTAGAGTAAGGGTTAGGGTTAAGCTTAGGTTTAGGGTAAGGGTTTGGGTAAGGGTTCGGGTTAGGTCGAGATAGTGATATCACATGTAAAATCCCCCAAGTTTCTGTCTTACAGGAAGCGTTGGTGTAGGCATTTAAATATAAATCAGAACATATGTGCGCTACCAAGGAAACTCTTGCCGATTTTCTTACTCTGTATTATCATTTAACGTATTGCGGAATAACCCGATTATCAAATTGCAGGTTTCTTGAAATTCCTGAAAAATAGATATTTTGGTTTAGAGGTCGTCTACTTCAACTTACCTGCGGTCCAACCTACCGTTCTGAAGTTATTTTTGTAAAGTCGCGCATACCTTTAATTAACATGCCTGTCCTATTTCCCCATCCCCCAAAGCCCTATAACTACTGTTTTCGTAGGACGAAATGCTGGCCCTAGGGGTATATAAGGTGAACTACATAAACTACTTTTGCCGAAATGACTTCTTTTAGTATGATATTTGTGGTATTCTCAAACACGTGAGTTCCCAGTAGCCTTTTTCGCAATCTGGTTCGTATGGAACAGGAAAGAATTCCTGTGCGAGAAACCCGTTAACATGCTGTTTAGTTTTGTCCGTCATTGTGCATCTGCCGGTAAGGATTCCTTGTGGGGTCTTTGAAAGGACCTCGTGTATTATAACCGCCTACTTAGAAATTTTAAGAAGGTTGAAGTACCCACAATCTCTCAGGTTTCTGAACGCCAGCCGTCGACCTAACAGGGATTGAATGATGGCATTGCACTACAGAGGGGTCCTCCGAAGGTCGCCGCATACAAAAACCACTTAAGTCAGTATATTAAGCAAAATGGCTTTTCAAATTAACTACGGGAATACTCGCTTCCTTACAAATTTTAAGAAGGATGAATTCCACAATCTCCAACCTTCTTTACACTTTGGCCTTTATTCTATTTGGGGTAAGTGGTTCTACTAAAAAAAGCCCCTCAATGACCTCGCCCGAGGTTAGGGTACACTCCTCTGAGATACACATGCGCGCCGTTGGTCCGGTGGGGGGTTAGCAATGATATTAAAGCCTATTTAAGTGTCCCTGCCCGAGGTTTGAGTACGCGCCACAACTTACCTCGTTACTTTTTTATTTTACAGTACTATTGCGATCTAATTTGTTCCCTGACATGCCCCGCCCGTCCTCTCTCCTAAAATCAGTTACCCGCGAGACTTAGGTGCGCGCTTCACGCGCTATCCTGGCGGCCGCACAAAGAATCCCTACCAAATTTTAACCTGGCCTTGGAAGGAAAGTTGTGTGAAAAACTGGAGCATAAAGACAGTTTTCTTGATAGGTCGCATGCAAATTATGCGCCCGCCCATCTGCCCGCCGCTGATCTTTTTGACTGTGTCTTGCCATCAGGATATGGCGG